ATTCCTAGGGGGGATAAAGCTTCTCGAAAGATCTAGAAGTGAAATTAGATCCCTGATCTGATTGTATCTCTTGTGGCAATCCAACCCGGGAGAAAAATTTCATCAGCGCTCTCAAAAATAGCACGAGCATTAATTTTTCTCATAGGAATAGCTTCGGGATAGGGTGTTGCAGCGTCCATAATAGTAAATAAGTATTGGTTTCCTAGTTTGGTTCTAGGCAAAGGACCAACACAATCAATAATAAGACGTGAGAATGGTTTCACCATCCACGGTGATAGGAATGAGAGGCGCAGGTGGAGGTGTGTGTGCTGGCTTTCTGTCACTTGACACACGTGGCAACATCGCACATGATCAGCTACTGTTTCCTTCATCTTTGGCCAAGTAAAATGTTTTGCCCCGTTTACCGAGTGTCTTCTTGACACCAAATGGTCCTCCAAAGGGACTATTGTGAGCAAAATCAATGGCCTGTTCACGAAATGTAACTGGTTTAAAACTACGAGATGCTTGGAAATGTGGTGGAAACCTACAGTGACAACTTACATGTATTTTCTCCATGGAAGTACAACCCTTACTATAATAGTAACAATTATCGAGATCCTTTGCTTCACTCTCAGTAACTGCTATTCTTTCAGTCTTTCCAGTGACTGATCAACAAAACTGATACTTGATTAAATCAGAGTTAGAAATTTAACGTAGTTGTGTCCTGACTAGGTTGATGACCGGGGGGGGAGTCGATTTAATGACCCTGGGCACAGAGCGTCATAAACAACATATTCAAGCCCAAATCATTGTCATCAACTAACTCAACAGGAGACAAGGATGGTTCTTTTATCTTTGACATAGCTCTAGTAATTGCGCTGTGGAAATTAAATAGCTTCTCTCTACAAGTTCAATGGTATAATTATATCAGTGTTATTTCATACAGTGGTTCCTTACAATACCAGCATGAAGGATATCGTTCCCTATCAACAAGTCCACTGACTAATGGGAAAACACCACTGGATATACCCACTGAAATTATAACCAGTATAATAGCTTGTTTCAATGAAACTTTGTGCAGAGGTTTCTTTTATAACAGCCCACCATAGGCTTCTAACAATACATCTATCTTGCAATAGGTACTCAGTTATGGGCAGTACATCTTCTCTTAATAAAAGTGAGATAACTGCCAGTGTCTCTGAAAGTAATTATCTCAGTTAGATGTGATTCGTCAAATCCTACTTTACCTCTCGAAAAGTAAGGACTCATCGCTGAACGAATTTTTTTTATCAGATACACTTCTGACGCTAGTCATCTGTTCTGAGTAATATTATTTTAAAAACAGTAGGATCAGAGGTATTACTAGGATTTTGGTGCCTTTGTTTGCTCGGAAGAGGATACGACTTGTTTTGGGGGCGCCAGCCCCAGACTGCTTTCTCGTATCTCTTTCTAACTCATAGCAATACGCTCTAGCATGTCCTTTTTTTGTTACAAAAGGTACATTTAACTTTCTTCCTCTCGATATCAGATTTTGTCTAACCACAGAGACAGTTTCGGATTGCGAGTTTTCCTGGTAAAGGTACGAGAAGTTACGTAGCAGTACATCAGGCGGGCAAATGAGCAGCTGATTTAGGTTGCCAACTTCTAAGACAATAGTTACCTTGTTTCTCTGTGTTTTAGCACAACAAGTTTGTGAGGGAAAACTCGTAATTGTCTGCTAATGCTGCAGTTTCCAGAATATCCGAGGTATTTTGATCGATCAGATATTCTTGTATGTCTGCAGACATACAGTTGTTAAACTCTTCGTGAAGTAACAGCTGAACTAGGTGTCGTAATTGTTGCACTTGGCAGACCTACACCATCTCTCAACTGCAACTTTTTTCTCACGAGCAAACTCTACACAAGTTTGATCTTGCCTCGTTGTAACAATTTAAATGCACACTGATAAATTACAGGCAACAAGTTATTGTCTCTAGAATAGCTTGCGTGACAGCGCATAACGGGAAAGTACTTGGCAAATGGTAAGCAGCAGTACAAGTTCGAGCTCTTCCTGTCAAAGCTGTGTGCAAAAAGGTAGCCCAGTGCTTATGTGGCCAGTTCACAGCATGTGCCTGGTTCTCAAACACATCAAAATAGGTGTCTAGGTCACTCTTTAAAAAAACTTAGGAACCATTGATGCAGCTTTCTGCACATTAAATGTGTCCTGTGATCTATCAGTCTGTTGTCTTCCAATACGAAATTTTCTCTCTGGGAAAACTTCGTTCAAAATTTTCCCCTGTGCCTCTATTTGTGCAGTTGAAACTTATGAGGCGTTCAAACCTCTCAAAAATGTTCCTGAGAGATAGGACCAGTAGGTAATGGAGGAGTGGGGAAATTAAATGAATGAGTCTGGATGGTCCTTAGGTCGGGCACCTCGTTCAGCCGTCCCTAGAGAGTCTAGATCTGGTCTAGGGTAAGTGGGTACAGGTGAAGCATACACGGGACTAGTATGAGGCTGAGTCATACTACCAGCTATAAATCGTACTATTATGTCATGAGGCGGGAAGGCGTGAGCGAGAACAAAATTTCACTAGGCTCAGACACTTCTGCCATAGTTACTCTTTCTTCTAAGTAATCAAATAGTCATATTCCTAATTGTGACACTAGGCTTTCTGAATCTGAATCATAATCAGACATCTCTGTATGAGCAGGAAACAATATATCTTTAATTAACGCTCTGACAGTTTCTGCGGTGTAATTCCTTTTTATAGTCACACCGAGATATTTGGCTACTAGCCAACACGTCTGAAGTTTTTTGTACTCAACTCAAAGTCAGGGGTATCAATTAAATATTTCACTATGGCATACATCTGGGAAAATAAATGTACTACGAGAGAGTGATTATGGGAAACTATAATCCTAATAGGGAATTTTAGTGTTGGTTGTCTTAGAGCTAGAGCTCAAACAGTATTTTTTCCCTCTCCTTGGATCAAGAGACTTAGTCAAGTACATACATCCATCTAGTATGTTGTACAAGACAAAACTCAAAGTCTTCAGATTAGGAAAGTACTCAAAGTGTTTGATCATAGAAGTTACTAGTATGTCAAACTGGACAATTTTTCCAACACTTTGGATCAAGAGCAAACCCAGGGCAGGCCCCCATTTGTTACAAAAACGCGATTCTAAAAAGCTTAGAGATCTCCAGTGAATACTAGAAAGGACTGCCCTTCTAGCATCCAGCCTGTTACTGGGTTTTCGTAACAATAGTCAGTATCCTGGTCAATTATCCATTAGAATTCAATAAGAATTATTAGTGTTCGGTTACAACTGGTAGGCTACTAACTAGAGAAAATTAAAAATTTTAAAAAATTTATTAATAATTAAGTGTCTAGGCAAAATATCAAATTAATTAAATCAATATCAACAAAAAAAGATAATCACTTCTCTCGTGTACAGTATTATTGTGCTGAAAGACATATCACATTTATAAGTCTAAAGTACCATCTGGTACATTAACATTTAATAATCAATATACAAATAAGTTTGTGTGTTAGGGGGTGTGTGTAAGTGCTCTAAGTAGTTCCATGTCCACGACTCGACTAGACTTAAAAAGCGACTGACAAAGTCCTCTCATAAACTAAGTTCTGACCGACTGCAATCAGAACAGTCTTCTTTGAACAATAAAAGAATGCTAAGCCATTTGCAATTTAACAAGCAACTGCGACACAATCAGGATCAAGGAGAAATATAACGACACTAAGTAGGGACCATCAGCAGATCCTCCACAAAAGTCACAAACTCATACTACTGAATCTAAGTTCAGCATAAGAAAATCCCCGACTGTGACAATTACACAGATACCAGTACAAATTAGGTCAGAAGCTAAGTCAGGACCTGAGTTACTCAGAGTGTCTAGGGACCCCACAACCTCGTACAAAAGTCGAAAATCACCAAGTCTATACAATGTTCTTGAAAAGAGTCCCACAGAACCAACAATAAAGCAAAAGAGACGTTGCCCAAAAAGGAGAGTTAGGCACTTGTCAGGAAAGTCCAACCACCAAGAAAGTCTAGACCAGATGGGAAAACTTTGGGGCGAGATCACCCCCCTCCGTCAACGTGATAGCTCCGTGGACAGTTGCTGCCTTTGCAACAGAAGCCGGCAGAGTAAGAAACAAAAGAGCAAATTACAGTAGTTAGACAATCAAGACTGTTATGAAAATTTTGAGCACATAATATGTTACATCCCCACTAACAAAGTACTAAGACAAATAATAATATGAAGCAATATATTTACGATTTAGGGTATAAACGCAAATATAAGCAAAATAAAATTACTACATGGAAAGGAAAATACATTATATACATAATAATATACATCATATACATTGTGACCATTCAGGGGTTGAACACCTTCCATAGGACTTTAGTAGCAAGTCCTATCTGGGGTTTCTTTCCCTTCTTTTAAAAGTCACTGGGAACAATTGAGTACTGGGCCTGTGCCAAAAAATTTTCCCGGAATTTTTTGCTTTTTTAAATTTTTTGAATAAAAAGCATTTAAAATTACTTTTCATTTCTACGAGGAGAGTTAAGGGAAACCAACCTGACGACACTGGAGGACAGGAGAGATAGAGGGGACATGATAACAACATACAAAATACTGAGAGGAATTGACAAGGTGGACAAAGACAGGATGTTCCAGAGATGGGACACAGCAACAAGGGGACACAGTTGGAAGTTGAAGACACAGATGACTCACAGGGATGTTAGGAAGTATTTCTTCAGCCACAGAGTAGTCAGGAAGTGGAATAGTTTTGGAAGCTATGTAGTGGAGGCAGGATCCATACATAGCTTTAAGCAGAGGTATGATAAAGCTCACGGTTCAAGGAGAGTGACCTAGTAGCAACCAGTGAAGAGGCGGGGCCAGGAGCTTGGACTCGACCCCTGCAACCTCCACTAGGCAAGTACAACTAGGTGAGTACACACACACATACCTCCACCTACATACATATACACACACACACACACACAGTACATGACCAGACCTTCAGCAGTCGTTGCCGAGCTTCCTTGTTTTCACCAATCACCGAGATGTTTAAGACGTTGTGAAAGAAGATAGTCTTAAGGCCAGGATGTTTCTTGCCTGTCTTGGGGTTACACACCTGCAGAAAACAATTATCATCATACCAGACTGACTCTGGGAAAGAGCTAAACCTATAAAGATTGGGTATGAGAAAGATTATCATTCTTATTATATTTATAGGGAAGCACTGAACTGCTAGGAAGTTGTACAGTGCCTGGAAAATGGGAGGTAATCTGGTTTGATCCAGGGGAAAGAGAGGTCCAAGTCCTTGAACCAAGAGCCCTTCACTTAATACTAATGTGGCTACTTCACATTAATATTAAGATAAAATAAAGATTTGTCAAAAAGTTAACAACTCTCATCTTCTCTAGACTTAAGTAGTTATTATGTACTAGGATAAGTCTGCCTGAAATACCCTGGCATGATGGTGTTTTTTTTTTTTTTTGTACTTAACAAATCAAAATTGTAAATACAAATTGCAACCTTGCAAAGAAATAAAATCTTTATCTTTAACCTTCAGATGTCATCTCCAGATGACTGCACGAATATGACTTCTATACCCTCAGGCATCCTTGTCCTCATAGGATATGTGCAAATTCCAGTTAAATTAAAAATAATTTTCTTGGTAGAGAATTTGAAATAAATACAACAAAAGAAAATCAAGACATTTAAAGTGCTAGTTTATTATGGGATATTGGTCTCCGAGAACTAGAGAATGCTTTTCATTCATCTAAAATCTTTCAATGCTGGTGTAGCTTACTGAACTGAAGCTTGTAATTGGGTTTTAGGATGTGTACGAGCCAATTTGGTAGCGCATGTAGCTCACACACTGATAATTCCTCGATGTGACATGGCAACACTTGAGACATTCCATGGCACTCATATAAGAGTCTGGTTTTAGGCTATGCAAGATAACCTCTACTATAAACAAGCCTAAATTTAATAAGCTGCCTCTATTATTTATCGAACGCCTCTAAGGTCCATGGTTCAACTCCCGGTACAGGGGAAAACATTGGGGCGTGTTTTCTTAACCCTTAAACTGTCCAAACGTAGATTACATTTTTTCAACATTTGAAAATATGTAAAAAAAGTAGATCTTTTATGTTTTTTACATTTGAAAACGTGTAAAAGAAACTTTGATCTACTTTATTTTTGTTATATTTGAAAATATGTAAAAAAAAACGTAGATCTACTTTTGGAGCACTACGCATCTGGACGTAAATTTGTTTGGACAGTTCAAGGGTTAAGAAACTGCTGTCCCTGTTCACCTAACAGTAAGTGGGTACTTGGGTGTTAGTTGACTGGCCTAGTTCACATCCTGGGAACAAAACTAACTTAAATTCCCAAAATACTCTGCATAACCAGGTGCTTTCTATATAGTATGTCACTGATGTCACATAGGTCTGTACAAGTTGTATCGTGTATGTAGATATAAATACAGTAGACCCCGAGTTTCGTGATTAATCCGTTCCAGAGAGCCTGCCGAAAGTCGAAATTCATGAAACTAAACCATTTTCCCCCATAAGAAATAATGGAAATAAAATTAATCCGTTCCAGACACCCAAAAATATTAAAATAATTTTTTTTTTTCAAATTAAATAAAGATTTATATACTGAAATCAATGAGAAATCAAGTACACGAATATAAAAAATAATAACATTACACTTACCTTTACTGAAGACTTCTGGGTGGATGGAAGATGGGAGGAGGGGATAGGAGGAAGGTGTACACTATTGTTTGGAAGGAGAATCTCCTCCTGTTACAAAAAATGCGATTCTAAAAAGCTTAGAGATCTCCAGCGAATACTAGAAAGGACTGCCCTTCTAGCATCCAGCCTGTTACTGGGTTTTCGTAACAATTAGTCAGTATCCTGGTCCAATTATCCATTAGAATTCAATAAGAATTATTAGTGCTTCAGGATTACAACTGGTAGGCTACTAACTAGAGAAATTAAAATTTAATAAATTTATTAATAATTAAGTTGTCTAGGCGTATATCAAATTAAATTAAATCAATATCAACAAAATAAGAATAATCACTTCTCTCGTGTACAGTATTAGTGTGCTGAAAGCACATATCACATTTATAAGTCTAAAGTACCATCTGGTACATTAATATTTAATAATACAATATACAAATAAGTTTGTGTGTATGTGTGTAAGTGCTCTAAGCAGTTCGCTATGTCTCACGACTCGACTAGACTTAAACAAGTGACTGACAAAGTCCTCTCATAAAATAAGTTCTTGACCGACTGGCAATCAGAACAGTCTGCTTGAACAATAAAAAGAATGCTAAGCCCAATAGCAATATAACAAGCAACTGCGACACAATCAGGATCAAGGAGATAATATAACGACACTAAGTAGGGACCATCAGCAGATCCTCCACAAAAGTCACAAAACTCCCATACTACTGAATCTAAGTTCAGCATAAGAAAATCCCCGACTGTGACAATACACAGATACCAGTACAAATTAGGTCAGAAGCTACAGCTCAGGACCTGAGTTGCTCAGGGTATCTAGGCGACACACAACCTCAGTACAACGTCAAAAATCACTAAGTCTATACAATGTTCTGTGAACAGAGTCCCACAGAACCAACAATAAAGCTACAGAGACGATCTTCCAACAAGGGCCAATAAGGGAGAGTTAGGCACTTGTCAGGAATACGTCCAATCACCAAGAGAGTCTAGACCAGACTGAATACTTCAGGCGAGGTGAGATCACCCTCCCCTCGATCACGTGAAGTTGCTGCCTAGCAACAGAAGCTGGCAGAGTAACGAGCAAAGAGCGATAATTACAGTAGTTAGACAATCAAGACTTGAACTATGAGCACATAATATGTTACATCCTACCTAACAAAGGTAACTAAGACAAATAATAATATAAAGCAATATATTCACGATTTAGCTATTATCGCAAATATAAGCAATATAAAATTACATGAAAAGGTAATATACATTATATACATAATATACATCATATACATTGTGACCCATTCAGGGGATGCAACACCCCCCCCCCAACACGACAAACGGTCGCACTAGGAGTTGCGTTAATGTCTTTCACATTATTACTGATTACTCATCTCACAATATTACTTTAATATTGAGATCTAGAGTCACTCTTGTGCCAAGCATTTCTATAATTTCACAGTGTCTATATCACTAAGTTATGCCCCTAGTACTAGGGCAGTACACAGTATCGTATCTCTGCATACTCGTGGTTATGTACATTAGTGTAGAGACAGGATAGCGTAGACAAGCATGACACGTTGAGGCTCGATCATAGTAGTGGAGACTGCATATGAACAAGAGTCTAGTGCGATAGACAGGAGATGGCATTCCACTCTTAGGTAGTGGTTGTGGAATGCTATGCAGTATGGACATCTGAGTATGAAACAACTTAAAGTGTGTAGTGAGGGGGGGGGGGTCTGCGGCAGCAGTGTGTTCTGCCACGCAGTAACATCGCCCACACAACACTACCCACTCAACACTCAGCTTCTGTCTCCAACTGTTTCCTCACACACATATCACTACTGTGAATATATAAATATAATAATTAGACATGAGTATATATAATTAACATGGGCTGGAGAGATTACGTTACTTTACTGAATTTGACATATCAAGTAACAAAAGGTATTTGGGCATAAAATTACGTTAATTTAATGTAACTGATAATTATTAAGGACGTGACAGAGTGTCAGCAATTACATTACAATGACCACTTATGTGTTTTATACTAATAGAATAAGGTTGGATTCTGAGGGCCCACCTCATGATCCTAGCATTTTTACTCTTCACAGTGTTTATGTAGGTGAGAGGATTGTGGTCTGAAAAAAACGTTAATTTTAAATGGGGAAGTGCCCAAATACACGTCAAAACGTTCCAAGGACACCACAAGAGCTAGAGCCTCTTTCTCAATAGTGGCATAATTTTTCTGGTGTCATTTAAGCTTAGATGAATAGTAACATATAGGATGGAGAATGTCAGTGGATGTTGACTGTTGGAGCAGCACAGTGCCCACTGCATAACCACTCGCATTTATATGCAAAAAGAAGGGAAGATTGAAATTAGGACTCTTCAACACAGGAGCAGAGGAAAGCAAGCACTTCAACCTTTTGAACGAGTCTGAACAATCTCTAGTCCAGATGAACTGAACTTTGCTACTAGTAAGCTCAGTCAGAGGAGCTGCAATCTGAGAAAAGTTTGGACAGAACCTGCGATAATATCCTGCCATACCCAGGAATCTCTGTACTCCCTTCCTATCCTGTGGCACTGGAAATTCAGAAATTGCACGAACCTTAGCCTCAACAGGAGCAACCTCACCTTGGCTGATATAAAAGCCTAGATAGGTAATCTTGGCTTGACCAAAACTACATTTAGCTAAGTTAACAGTGAAGTTGTAGTGCGCCAGTCTCTCAAACAATGCTCTGAGATGCATCAAGTGCTGTTCCCACTTGTCACTGTACACCACTAAGTCGTCAAGGTAGGCTTCTACTCCCTCTAAGTTGTGGGTCAACTCGTTCATTATACGTTGGAATGAAGAAGCCGCGTTACATAGGCCGAAGGGGGTGACGAGGTAGTTAAACAATCCATCTTGAACAGTAAAAGCAGATATTTCTTGAGCACGTTCAGTAAGCGGGACTTGATAATAGCCTCGTAAGAGATCTAAATGGCTGACAAACTGCGCTCCTGACACACGGTCAATAAGGTCGTCAATGCGAGGTAGAGGATAACCATCAGGCAAGGTGACAGAGTTCACTTTTCTGTAATCAGTGCACATCCTGAAACTACCGTCAGGTTTAGGCACTAAAATACATGGAGATGCCCATGGACTTTTACTGCTCTCAATAAGTCCGTGAGGTAACAGAAAATCAACCTCTTCTCTCAATGCTTTATGCTTTGTTGGACTCATCCTATATGGTGATTGCTTAATGGGTGATGCTCCCTGTACATCAGCGTCATGTACACCCAGAGTACAACGTTTAGGAACATCACTGAACAATTCAGGGAAATGCAAAATCATGTTTTTAATATCACCAGCTTTATCAATCCCAAGGTTACTAAGAAAATC